TAAATAAGAGGGTAGCATAACCCATCATGTGAGGTCAGTAAGATGCTGGCAACAATGAAAAAATTCATTCTTCAGTGGCCCATTAGCCACAAATATTGAAAAACAACATACAGTCTAAGACTAGTCACATATTAGAAATAAAATTCAATTTACTTTTGATCCAACATAGTTCAAAGTGTCAGAGGGCTCACTACTTGATTTGATTAAGAGTATACTACCTAGGAAATTCAGATAGCACAGCCTAAACAAAACTTGCACAAGTGTTTCATCTCAATCTTTATTTTCAAGAATACAAATCAGAGGGTTAGGGATATAGCTCAGTTGGTAGAGTACTTGCCTCACATACACAAGGCCCTGGGTTCAATCCCCAGCACCACACACATACACTCAAATACACATCAGAAACACACAGTGCAGCGACCTACTTTAAGAATAAATTACTGGGCTGGGGTTGTGGCTCAGTGGTACAGCACTTGCCTTGCATGTGTGAGGCCCTGGGTTCGATCCTCAGCACCACATAAATAAATAAATAAAAATAAAGATATTGTGTCCATCTACAACATTTTACACACACTAATTCTAATTAGGTATACATGACAGCATAATGAATTTTGATTCATTTATACACAAATGGAGCACAACTTTTCACTTCTCTGGTTATACATGATATAGATTCGCACCATATGAACGGTCATACATGTACCTAGGGTAATGATGTTCATCTCATCATCTTTCCTGCCTCCATCCCCCTACCCTTCCATTCCTCCCCTTTGACCAAAGAGCCTCCATCCCCCCATCCCATTATGGATCACCATCCAATTATCAGAGAGAACATTCAGCCTTTGGTTTTTTGGGGGATTGGCTTCCTTCACTCAGTATAATTCTCCAACTCCATTCATTTACCTACAAATGCCATAATTTTATTCTTTTAATGCAGAGTAATATTCCACTGTGTATATATACCACAGTTTCTTTTACCCATTCCTCTGTTGAAAGGCATCTAGGTTGGTTCCAAGTTTAGTTTTTGTGAATTGAGCTGCTATGAACATTGATGTGGCTGTGTCACTATAGTATGCTGATTTTTAAGTCCTCTGGGTACAGATTGAGGAGTAGAATAGCTGAGTCAAATGGTGGTTTCATTCCAAGTTTTCTAAGGACTCTCCATACTGCTTTCCATAGTGGTTGCACCAATTTTTAGTGCCACCAACACTGTATGAGAGTATCTTTTTCAACACATCCTTGACAAAACTTATTATTGCTTGTATTCTTTTTTTTTTTAATATTTTTTTGAGAGAGAATTTTTTTTAATATTTATTTTTTAGTTTTTCGGCGGACACATCTTTGTTTGTATGTGGTGCTGAGGATTGAACCCGGGCTGCACGCATGCCAGGCGAGTGCGCTACCGCTTGAGCCACATCCCCAGCCCCTATTGCTTGTATTCTTGACAATTGCCATTCTGACTGGAGTGAGATGAAATCTGTTTTGATTTTCATTTCTCTAATTATTAGAGAATCTGAACATTTTTTTCATATACTTGTTTTTTTTTTTAAAGAGAGAGTGAGAGAAAGAGAGAGAGAATTTTTTAATATTTATTTTTCTAGTTCTCGGCGGACACAACATCTTTGTTTGTATGTGGTGCTGAGGATGGAACCCGGGCTGCACACATGCCAGGCGAGTGCGCTACCACTTGAGGCATATCCCCATCCCTCATATACTTGTTGATCTATTGTATATCTTCTTCTAAAAAGCATTCGTTCAGTTTCTTAGCCCACTTATTGATTGGGTTGTTTATTTTTTTGATGTTAAGTTTCTTTGAGTTCTTTGTACATCCTGGAGATTAGCACTCTATCTGATGTGTGAGTAGTAGTTCTCCCACTCTGTGGGCAATCTCTGCACATTATTGATTGTTTCCTTTGCTGAGAAGAAGCTTTTTAGTTTAAATCTATCCCATTTATTAATTCTTGATTTGATTTATTAATAAATAAAAGGAAGTCAGAGCCTAATTGACATGATGAAGATTTGGGCCTATGTTTTCTTCTATTAGGTGCAGGGTCTCTGGTCTAATTCCTAGGTCTTGATCCACTTTTGAGTTTTATGCACGGCAAGAGATGGTGGTTTAATTTCATTTTGCTGCATATGGATTTCCAGTTTTCCCAGCACCATTTTTTAAAGAGACTATCTTTTTGCCAATGTATGTTTTCAGCACCTTTGTCTAGTATGATATAACTGTGTTTATGTGAGTTTGTCTCTGTCTTCCATTCTGTGCCATTGGTCTACATGTCTATTTTGGTGGCAATACCTCAGCATTTGTTACTATAGCTCTGTAGTATAGTTTAATATCTGATATTGTGATGTCTCCTGTTTCACTCTTCTTGCTAAGGATTGCATTGGCTAGTCTGGGTTTCTTATTTTTCCAACTAAATTTCATGATTGCTTTTTCTATTTCTCTTAGGAATGTTGTTTGGATTTTTGCGTGGGCTCTCACGCGTCCAGCGAGAAGGCCCACGGAATAGGGTAGAGGAGAGTGTGGCTGCAGAGTCACTCATCAAGACCTCCGGAGACCAAGCAGGTCTGAGTTTATTGCACAGTTACCATGTATATATACTCAGGCAGTAGCTAGGCAAATTACAGGCAGCCACCAATGTGATTTCTGCTAACTTGCAGCAACCAGTCTAGGAGTGGGCTGCAGAGCAAGTGCAGGAACTGCAGCACATGGACTCATGCCCAGGGCTGTGTGTATGGGGTGTCCTACCACTCAGACACCCTTAACATATGCCTTGTATGCAGTATGGTAGCTCCTTTATACACGAAGGGGTTAAAGTGGTGGGGTATGCCGTCATTTCCCTCTCATCCATCATAGAGGCAAAACCTCTCCCACCCAATACCACCAACCAACAAGCTGAACTCATAGCTGCCACAAGGGCATGCGAGCTAGTGGAGGGAAATCTCCCACGCAGCCATTGGGAAAGAAAGGGGGCTATTGACCACCAGAGGGATGGCAGTCATTAATTCCACTCTTATTTCTTATGGAGTCCAATCTAGCTCCCTGAAGGAACGACCAGACAAGGCTTGTCATTGGAGAAGTGTCCATTTACTGAGGAACAGCTCTGCATATTTATAGAGCCAGGGGCGGGTTTGACAGTTAAATGATTTAACAGTTTGACATGGGGCGCTTTCTGATTGGTCATGTGAGTTGGCAGGGCTCACCATTGGGTGGCTCTTCCCGTCGCTGTCTCGGGGGATGAGGAAGTTAGTCTTTGGAGCCGGGGAGACTCCCGACACTTGTCCCCACAGATTTTAATTGGAATTACATTTAATCTGTATAACGCTTTTGTCAGTATAGCCATTTTGACAATATTTCTAGTGTTATGAATATGAAAGTGTGTTGTATTTTATTAAATGCTTTTTCTGCATCTATTGAGATGATCATGATTTTTTTCTTTAAGCCTATTGATGTGATGAATTATGTTTATTGACTTCTGTATGTTGAACCAAATTTGCATCCCTGGAATGAAACTTGGTCACTGTGCATTATCTTTTTAATGTTTTTGTATGTAATGTCCCAGAATTTTAGTGAGAATTGTTGTATCTATGTCCCCACATCCTTTGCAAAAATACAAGTTACTGCAAGTGCATTCTCATGTTTGCTAACAAGTTCATGTGATAATAAAGACTTCCCATTTTTTTGTATTCACAGTTACTCTCCAGTGTGTTCTTTCATGTACGTGAAAGAATCTGAGAATAAAGGATTTCCCAAATTGCTGACATCATCAAGGTTCCTCCTCACTGTGAATTTTTTCTTAGTATCAAAGGAAACTGTAAACAATAAAGCTTTCTCACATGACTTACACTCATGGAGTTTCTCTCAAGTGTGAGTTCCTTGAATTTTGAGAAGGTAACTGGATGGAGTGAAGGCTTCTCTGCTTTCTTTACACACACACAGTGTGAAGGCATTCCTGCACCCACTGTTTGACCGGGCCACGGTGTGGGGGATGCTGCGGCAGGGCCACATCATCTGGAAACATGGGGAATGTTAAGTGTTTTGTTTATGATACTCATGATATGGGTAACAGGGCATATGTCAATCAATAATAAAAGTATGTATTGCCTGAAATTTCAGGAAAACTCCCAGAACGAGACTAAGGATACAATTAAGACATGCCCGAGGTGTGTTTCAATATCTCTCAGTATACAAACAATATTGTTATTCCTCAAGCCTAAGTAACAAAGAACATTTATCCCATGGTTAACAATTTACACTAAGCCCCCGTTCTAGAGCCACGACCTGTGCAACATACATTCCCCCCACTAACAGACCCTCCTTTGCCTTACGCAGGAATTTATGATAAGAATGGGGAACTCATAGTTAATATTAACTGCAAATGGGTTGAGGTGCAGAGCCTGTCCTTTAGTTAAAGAATACAAAGATGTCCAAGACTTGGTGTGCTTTGACTAAGGATCAGAGAACTTCTTTAAGAAAGAAGTTAAATAGGTCATATGAAAAAAGGAAATTACACGGAAATTAAAAATAGAGTAATGTAAAATTAACATAGATATATTTTAGAGTCACTTCAGAGTCGTAGGCTTTTAAGTAATAGACTTTCACTATTTTAAGTGTGTTTTATTGGGACTTTAGGTTAGAAGTAAGAAAGCTTACCAGTCATCATAGGTAGGCTTTAAAGTTACAAGTTAATGGTAGGGCAGGAGACCTGTAGTCGAGTTGCATAATCTAGCACCTGGTGATGGAGGTAAAAACATAAAAGCTTAATCATGATTGGCAAAGGTTTACAGGAAAATATTTTAAACAATGTACTCAATATCTTAGGTTGCCGCAGTCCGGCTGGGCAAAATAACCGGGAGGTGAGAAGCAACTTGAAGGTTGAAGCAGGAACTGCTTATTGTGGAGCAACAGAGGTTTATATACCCAACTGATTACACACAGCTTGACTCAATTAGCATCATCTAGATACAGCAGTCAGCCAATAAGGAATCCCCACCAACTGAATGGCTCGGTGGCGTTGCCTCACAAACCACTCCTCCTGGCAAACTGCCAGGCGCCATCTTGACTTGATTTGCGGTCCCCAACATTAGGTAATCAATGTTTGCCAGAAAAGATTGTAACTCTTGAAAATTATGTAAATCAAAGATGTTTCGGGCTTTGAGGCTATTCATTAACTACCTGAGAAAACACCTGCAAAAAAGGTGTAAAAATAAAGGCCCCTCTAGGGGCAGCAGATCCTTCTGGAGGCTGCTCATAACTTGAAACCTATCTTCCAGTCTCTTCTTCTTTCGCAGATGCCACTCCTCCTTCAAGACCCCTGGATCCCCACTGGGGCTGGACCCGGCAACACAGGGTTTCTTTCCAGTGTGCATTCTTCCATGTATTTTAAGGGTGGAGAAATGACTGGAGGCTTTCCACACTTCTCACATACATGTTTTCATGTCACTGTGAATTCTCTGTTGTTGTCTGTGGGGACTGGGATCACCACAGGCTTTGCCATATTGCTTGCACACATAGTCGTTCTCCAGGGTGACTTATATCTTCTGACTAAATAGGAATGAATAAAAGTTTTCCCACATTGTTTACATATATAGGGCTTCTCTTCACTCTGAATTTGTTCACATGGCTAGATGAACAAAAGCCTTTTCCACATTGTACACATAGATAGGATTTCTCTCCATTGTGCTTTATTTCATGTATTTGAAGGGATCTGGGGAAATGATAAGCTTTCCAACATTGTTAACATGTATAAGGTGTCTCTTCACTGGGAATTCATTCATGTGTTTTAATGTGGCTAAAAGAACTAAAGCCTTTTCCACATAGCTTACATTCATAGGGTTTTTCTCCAGTGTTGAGTTTTTTCATGTCTTCTGAATGCATTGAGATAACTGAAAGCTTTCCCACATAGTTCCACCTGTATAAGGTTTCTCTCCACTGTGCATTCGTTCATGTTTTCTAATGGAGCTGGAAGAAGTAAAGCCTTTTCCACATTGCTTACACACATAGGGTTTCTTTCCACTGTGAATGTGTTCATGAATTTGAAGTGAATTAGGAAAACAAAAGGCTTTCCCACATTGTTTGCACTTATAAGGTTTCTCTCCACTGTGAATTCTTTCATGGATTTTAACATACGTGGAAGAACTAAAGGCTTTTCCACATTGTTTACAAATGCATGATTTCTGTCCACTGTGAATTCGTTCATGTGTTTTCACATAGCTAGAAGAACTAAATCCTTTTCCACATTGCTTACACACATAGGGTTTCTCTCCACTATGGATTTGTTTGTGTGCTTTAGCATTGCTGGGTGATCTAAAGGCTTTTCCACATTGCTTACATATATAGAGTTTCTTTCCACTGTGAATTTGTTCATGCCTTTGAAGAGAACTGAGAAATGTAAAGGCTTTCCCACATTGTTTGCAGTTATAAGGTTTCTCTCCATTGTGAATTCGTTCATGGATTTTAACATACTTGGAAGATCTAAAGGCTTTTCCACAGTGCTTACATATGTAAGGTTTCTTTCCACTGTGAATTCGTTCATGACTTTGAAGAGAACTGAGAAATGTAAAGGCTTTCCCACATTGTTTGCAGTTATAAGGTTTCTCTCCACTGTGAGTTCGTTTGTGTACTTTAGCGTTGCTGGATGAACTAAAGGCTTTTCCACATTGCTTACATATGTAGGGTTTCTTTCCACTGTGAATTTGTTCATGAATTTGAAGAGAACTGAGAAATGTAAAGGTTTTCCCACATTGTTTGCATTTATAAGGTTTCTCTCCACTGTGAATTTGTTCATGTTTTTTAATGTAACCATAAGAACTAAAGGCTTTTCCACATTGCTTACACACATAGGGTTTCTCTCCACTATGGCTTTGTTTGTGTGCTTTAGCATTGCTGAGTGATCTAAAGGCTTTTCCACATTGCTTACATATGTAAGGTTTCTTTCCACTGTGAACTCGTTCATGAATTTGAAGAGAACTGAGAAATGTAAAGGCTTTCCCACACTGTTTGCATTTATAAGGTTTCTCTCCACTGTGAATTCGTTCATGGATTTTAATGTAGCTGGAAGAACTGAAGGCTTTTCCACAGTGCTTACACACATGGGGTTTCTCTGCTGTGTGAGTTCTTTCATGCTTCTGGAAACGTTGGGGATCATGCAAGGCTTTCCCATCTTCCTTATATTCATATGGCTTCTCTCCATGTTCTGGATACTCATGTGCTTTGTGTCCAGCATGAGATGTCAGGGGCACAACTAGGGATGGATCAGTAATGGTGACTTCTCCACACATATGGTGTTCACCAGGTTTTACTCCAGAAGAATTTCTCTTGTTTACAAAAGGATCTATGATGTGGCTGATGATTTGTCCACACTGACTATCTTCTTTCTGTTCACAGAGTCTCTCTAACACTTGAATTCTGCAAAGAATGAAAAGCACATTACTGAGGATTTGTTTACTAATGATTTAGCAGAAGAATTGGCTTTATGCTGTGTAAGCTTTACTACTGAGCTAAATTTCAGTCCTTTTTTTTTTTGAGACACCATCTTAGTTCAGGGCCTCACTACAGTGCTGAGGCTTGCCTCTCACTGGTGATCCTCTCCCTCAGCCTCCTAAATTGCAGGGATTATAGTAATGCACCACTGCCCAGTTCAGGTTTCTAAATAATCCTGCCAAATTAAGATTTTGTTAACCATGAAAACGTTTATTTGTAAATACAATTGAGTACTACTTGTGTGAAATGCATGGGACAAAACTCAGATTGGGATTTTGTGATATTTGTGTATACACAGTAAAATATCTTCAAAATGAGTCCCACTTGAAGATAATTTCATACATTTCTAATAATTTATATACAAAAAAACACTCTATATAAAAAACTACCAGAAAGTGTCACTTATGACATCAAGTCAGTATTCCAGATGCTGCCTACACTGTAACATTTTGGATTTTGAACTTTCCAATTATGGATGCTCAACCTGCATCGTTGTATGCATCGTTGTGAACAAATAGAGATAAATCAATTTGAACCTTGGCATGTATCTTTTCCTTCTTTTCATGCTTTTTTATAAGTTACTCCCAGATTTCTGAGGGATACTGCCTTCTCTAATGAGTTCAATTACCTTAGATTTCCCCTGGAATTGTAGTGATCATCGATGGCCTGATTTTTCCATTGTTTTCCTAAAATGCAGACCCAAAAACATCATTATGACTCATTTCAACATTATAGAAAAAACTATCAGAGTCTTGTAGATCTGTTGTATAATGACTCCATGCTAGTATAGTCACCAAAATGTGGGCTTTCCATATTCCAGATCATGGAACAGAACTGACAAGCAAGTAACCACAGTTCTCTGATTGACTAAGTAAGGAAAGTATGTCACCCTTACCTATAGTGGTCAGGTTCCAGAAGGTTTCCTGCATCACATCTCTGAAGAGCTTCTTCTGGGAAGGATCCAGCAGAGCCCACTCCTCCAGAGTGAAGTTCACAGCCACATCCTCAAAGGTCACTGGCTCCTGAAATATCCCACAGGCATTCCCAGGAGGAAGGTGAGACACACAGCACTGGAGACCTGCACTCACTGTGTGAGAATTTCACAGGATACCATGTCCTCCCAATACTCTGTCACCTGGGTGTCACACTCTTAATCTCCTGCCAGGCTCACATCCTCTCCACAGCAATTCTGGTGCTGAATTGCACCTAGTGGTAGAGTAACAGGGAGAACAGGAACACTGGCTGTGCTGCTGGGTCTCTAATTCTTTCTGCACGAGGGTCTCTGGCACTTCTCAGAAAAAAAGTCCAAATATTTACTGCACAAAATAACAGTAGCTGTCCTGAGACAGCATATTCTTAGAAATGCTTGTGAACAAACTTTGATCTTTGTTGCTCTCTGGGAACTACTGTTAAGATGGACGTCACCAGAATAACTGCAGGAGGGGCTTGGGGTTCCCAAGAGGGTTATCCCAACAAAATGCAGCCTAAGTCCTGTTAGTCCCCTAAAGTTTGCAATTTTCTAACATGCTTGTCAGAGGTTTCCTATCTCATTAGCCCACAAATATTCTCTGGGTGATGAATCTCTTGGGAACTGATCTTTAGATCAGATTTAAAACCTCTTTTTACAACTCACTGTATAGTGAATTCAATCCATTCTTTGGATTTGCACTAAGGGACCACAACTGGAAGCCTATATCTTAGTTCCTGTACATCAATCAGAATCAAATAGTAAATAAGACTCATGAAGGATAATTCAGTAGACTAATAGGTAATCATTAAAGTTTTGGTAGGAGAATGTTAAAAAAAACAATAAAATAAAGGGAATATTGGTACATGTTCTTAGAAAGATTTCACTGTCACCAAGGTGTCAACTTTACATGAACTTATAAAATGAAAAAATGTTAATAATAAAACCCTTTGGTAGGAAAACAAAAAATTGTTCATGCTTGCTCAATTGCCCATCAACTGGGATTGTGTATAATCCCATCAACTAGGACTTAGCAAGAACCTGTCTCAAAATAATAAAGAAATCAGTAAAATGAATAAATTTTTTAGAAGGGTAAAGAGATGGCTCAGTACTTTAGGGCCTCTGACATCATTCTCCAAACAGAAAAAGACAAAAAAAAAAAAAAAAAAAAAGGAAAGAAACCAAAGGAAAAAAACTAGCTTATTAGATCCTCTATGCATAATTAATGTCTAACAATATTTAAACTCTTTGGAATAAGAAACTGATCATTTGACTACTATACATAAACATTTTGAAGTCACACTATTTAGAAAAAGATGCTATTAACAGAAAGATTACCAAACACATCATGAAAAAGAAAAGAACACTCACTTGACCCACTTGTGAATAGAGAACTGATTAATGACATAGTGGGCAGTGTACAACAGTGGTAGACATCCCAATCACTCTAAGAGTTGAGAGAGGGACAAAAAGGTATATTTACCTGGACATGCCATGTGTTCCTGTTTATTCCAAGGATGAAATACAAATTACAAATTACACATTGAAACCAGGAAAAAATACAGGAACAATTTGAAAAGCCACACATACATTTTCATTCATATTATATATATATGGAGAGAGAGAGAGAGAGAGAGAATTTTTTTAGTTGTCAATGTACCTTTATTTTATTTATATGCAGTGCTGAGAATCAAACCCAGTCCTCACACATGCTAGGCAAGTGCTCTACCACTGAGCTACAGCCCTAACGCCACACATACATTTTCTATATAGAAAATAGAGTGTTTTCTGCAGGGCGCGGTGAAGCACGCTTGTAATCTCAGTGGTTCAGGAGGCTGAGAAAGAAGGGTTGTGAGTTCAAAGCCAGCCTCAGCAAAAGCAACTCAGTGAGACCCCGTCTCTAAATAAAATACAAAATAGGGCTGGGACTGAGGCTCAGTGGTCAAGTGCCCCTGAGTAGTTCAATCCCTTGTAATAACAAAAACAACAAGAACAAAAACAAACAAAAAAATAGAAAATGGTGTTTTCTAATTTTAAAAAGTAATAATTCCTAAAAAATAAGTGGACATACTAAAAATACAGGAAGGTAAAAGATAACAATGTATAAAATTTTTTGCAATATATGGCATGAAAAAGGAGAAGGTGCTTGCTCCAAGGCACACACCTGTAATCACTGCTACTTGGGAGGCTGAGGCAAGAGGATCCCAAGTTCCAAGGAAGTCTGGGTGACTTAGGGAGACCCTGTTTCAAAATTAAAAATGAAAAAGGGCTGGGAACATGGCACAAATCTGTAATCCCAGTGGCTCAAGAGGCTGAGGCAGGAGGAACGCGAGTTCAAAGCCAGCATCTGTAATGGTGGTGTGCGAAGCAACTCAGTGAGACCATCTCTAAATACAAAATGAGGCTCAATGGTGGAAAGCCCCCGAGTTCAATCTCTGATACCCGCACCCAAAAAGAAAAAGGGCTGCAGTGTAGGCCAGTGTTAGAGCAGTTGCCTAGCATGTGCAAAGCCTTGGATCCAATCCCCAATACCCCCACAATAAACATGATTAATGCACAGAACAAAAATAAGTGAATACATGATTAAAGACACTCTAAACACTTTAACTCAATATAAAACACCATAAAGAGAACTGTGTCCTTGTTTGAGGAACAAGCCAAATACATATAAATAGTGACGATCATAGCAAAACACACAGGCTTATACATAAATGGAGGATAAACTGATGCATATCCCTGACACTGTAATTTCAATTTTACCACAACCTTCACACCAGTGGCTGAAATCAAATTTAACCTCATCAAATATTTCTGCTCACACACTGAAAGAAGAGAATCTGATCCATATAGATACCCATTAGACTCCTCAAATGTTCACATAGCAACAATAGCAAAAAAGAGAAATCAAGGTGCACTCCTGTAAGCCCAGCAATCTGGGAAGCTGAGGTAAGAGGGTGGCAAATTCACAACCAGCTTCAGCAACTTGGCAGGACTCTAAGCAACTGAGCAAGACCCTGTCACTAAATAAAATATAAAAAAGGCTGGGGATATGGCTCAGTGGTTAAATACCCCTGGGCTCAATCCCCGTAATAATAATAATAGTAATAGTAATAAAGAAGAGGGGGAGAAGGCTCATTAATAGAAAAAAATAGAGAAAATCCATTTCAAGGAAATCTTAGAATTTGAACTCAGTCAACAAAGACATTCACTGGGCGAGTAGTGCACTCTTATAATCCCACTGAGTCAGTAGGCTAAGGCAGAAGGATCACAAGTTCAAGGCCAGCCTTGGCAACTCAGCAACACTGTAATTCTTAAAAAAATAAATAATAAAAAAGGGCTAGGGATATGGCTCTGTGATAAAGCTGAAATCCTCAGTGCCACCAAACAAAAAACGCAACCAGCCAAACAAAAAAAGACCATAGAGTAATTTGCAGATTCCAATTATAACAACTTACATGAAGCCATAACCATAGGTGTTCCATGGCACATGGGAACAAGGAGAACAGAGAATCAACTAAGATGAAGTTAAATGATTGAAATTACATGGTTGGAAGAACACAAAGAACAGAGAATAAGCTTCAGAGACTGTTTCAACAGTGTATCACCTTGGCATGCCTTTTGGAAAGAAGTTCTTGAGAGTGAAGCAAAAAGATGTAGGAACAGGGATCACATAAAGTAAAACAAACAGAAAGTAGTTACAAATATGGTGTATATTAGCCCAACCATATCAATAATCACTTTAAATGTGAATGCTCTGTAGACAGACTGGTAGAAAACAAGATCCACCCTTGTGTACTTTATGAGACAAAAACAGTTGTTTTTTTTTTGGTTTTTTTTTTAACTATCAAGACATCAAGTCAGGAGTCAAAATTTATCTTATATATGAGAAATAAATTCAAGAAATCTAGTACTGTGAGAAATCACTAGAGGATTATGTTTACAGTTCCCTCATCCCAAAAAATATATATGTGAAGTAATGTAGTTGGTAATAAGCTCAATTTAATAATTCAACAATGGCTAAATTGTACGTGCACATTTGTGTGATAAAGGGCATTGAAACCAGGAGCACTGAGTTGTGAGTTGCAGCCAATACATTTTTAAATTTTTATTTTAGTACAGGGTCTAAGTGGCACAGGGTTGGTCTTGGACTTACCACCTTCTTCCTAAGCCATTCAAATGGATGAGATTACAGGTATGCCCCCATGACATCTGATTGAAAGCATCATATGTGAAATTACAAATTCATTCAATTTTTATCAATTAAATATATAGATATTTTTAAAATACATCAATATGAAGACAAAAATGAATGAAATCTAAAGTTATGTCCATTCTTATTTTGACCCCAAAACAATTTTGGAAGCTCTATTAATTTTGTACCAATCAAGTTGTACCTCAAACAAAATAATAAGGAATAAAGGGATTAAATAATGATAAAACAGTTGACTCTCCAGGAAAACATAAAAATCCTTAATATATAGTCTCTTAAACAGAGCATCAAATCACATGAGGCAAAACATGGAACTGAAGGGAAAAATCACAGATTCACAATTATATCTTCAGATTTCAACTCATCTCTATCAGCAAGGGATAGATCAAGAAGTCAGAAAATCAGTACTGGAATAGTTGAAATTAATAACATCAGACATCAACTAGAGACATCTGCTCAGGTAGAAACCACTACAGCGTGCACATTCTTTTGCCTTATCCTTTTGTAGTGTTGAGACTGAACCCAGGCTTTGCAAATACTAGCTAAGTGTGTCTACCACTAAGCCACATCCCAAGCCTCAGTACACATTCTTGTCAAGATCACAGTGTAGCAGGAAATGAGATTTAGGACAGTGAGATCTGGAAGCAATATGTTATTCCTGGCTCCACAGCCCAGAGGGATAATTCCCAAAGCCTGAGCCCTGAGCACAGCAGGGCTTTTACTTTTATACATAAGCACAGTTGGGGTACCTCAGGCAAGGGAGTTGGTGCAATTCTATTGGAAGGTGCATTCTACTTTTCTTATATGGGAGCAAGTTGTCAACAGTCCAGAGACTCTTAGCTCCTACTGCTTAGGGATTTTTACTGCACTAAGCCTAAACTGGGATTGTTCTGTCCCCATTGCTGGGTTTCCTGCTTCTACCACTGCAGTTATCTCTTACAGGTACCTGTTAGCCACCACAAGCCTCTATATTTACACGTCAGTAAGCAGAGTTTCTGTGTCAGCGTGCAAAAACCACAGCCTGTCAGCTCTTAAAATGCCAATGTTCCCATTTTTGTTCTACCACAGTATAGATTCATATCCAACATGGACCATGTTCTGAACTACACGACACACCTTAACAAATCTAAAGGAACACAAATTGTGCAGAACAGTTAAACCCCCAACCATCGGCTGATGCTGTATGTTGGCAAAAGCCAAGCCTGGGAAACATTCCTTGCCAAAAGGTGAGGACGTGAACAGCCTTGACACTCGGCTCTGACACTAACAGTTATAAAAGTTTCAGTAGAATGGGTTTTCTGGGCACAGCAGGATAGCTGTAAAGAGCTTCTTGTTCTGAAACTTTTTAGCGCGCAAAGAAGCCTCTTAATAGCTCACAAGCCTTGAAGAATTTACAATGCCCTGATAGCTAAACTTCCTGATTAGAAGACTATATAATAAACATGCCAATTAGTTCCAGGTCACTGTTCCTCCATCAGAGGCCAGAGTTCCATCTGGCCCCAGCTGTGCTTAAAAATGTCTCAGTTCATTTGTCTCTGTTTTTCTCGTCTCCCTTCCCCAGTACTCAAGATCCTTTGTTGATGCTGCGTGGGTCTTAGCAAGAAGTCATAGACACTTGCTCCCTTTCAGACCATACTGAAATTAAAGCAGACATCAGTAGCATGAACTTAACTGGCAAATGTCCAAGATACATGGCTGAATGGCATAAGGATGGAAGAAAACAACAGCAGAGAAATTTAAGTATTTCAAAATATGTGAACATGAACAAACATCTTTTAAAAAAAAAATTTAGTTGTAGATGGACACAATATCTTTATTTGATTTATTTATTTTCATGTGGTGCTGAGGATTGAACCCAGTGCCTCACACATGCTAGGCAAGTGCTCTACCACTGAGCCACAACCCCAACCCTGAACAAAATCTTACCATCACTTGTGGGATACAGAAAAAGCAATGCATAGGGAGAAATTTACAACAATGAATGCGTATATTCGAAAAGACGAAAAACTTCAACTCAACAGTTTAATGTACCACATTGGATAACTGACAAAAGAAGAGCAAGATACTCTTAAAGCACAGAAAAATAACTTGGGAAGAAATCAACCAATTTCTGGAAAGAAACAATCCAGAAAAACTCACATGAGGAAAGATAAACAATGTAAATAAGGCTCTATGTATTACAGAAATTAAAACAATAGCAACTCAAACACAGAGAACCAGGCCCACCTTGTCTTTTGGGCTTATTCTTAACACTTAAGAACACCAATCATTACAATGTCTTCCAGGCAATAGATGCAAAAGTACTACTTCATAATGTATGAGGCTCATAGTGCCAAGATACAAAACTAGACAGACATTATAAGAAATAACAAAAATAAATGAATAAAGGTGAGGAGCATAGCTCAGTGAGAGTGCCCTGAGTTTCAATCCCAGTACAGAGTAGGGGGAGAGAAGACAAACTGCTTTTAAGAATAAAGATGAAAGAATCTTTATAAGGGCATAGCTCAGTATAAGGGCCTAGCATGTGTGAGGTTCTGACTCTGATCCCTGGCACTGCCAAAATAAATAAGAAAAAGAAAAAATCCTCAACAAATAATGGCAAAGTACATCTATCCTTATACAAACAGCATGATCCAACAAAACTACATAAGAATTATTATAAGTAGTTTTAAAAATACTTAGTTGTAGATGGGACTTTATTTATTTGGACATAGTGCTCAGAATTGAATCCAGTGCCTCATACATGCCAGGTAAGCATCTACCACTGAACCACAACCACTGCTCCTACTATAAGTATTTAAGAATGACCAAACAGCTGGGTGCGGTGGTGCACACCTGTAATCCCAGTGGCTAGGGAGGCTGAGGCAAGAGGATCATGAGTTCAAAGGCAGCCTCAGCAAAAAGCAAGGTGCTAAGCAACTCAGTGAGACCCTGTCTCTAAATAAAATACAAAATAGGACTGGGGATGTGGCTCAGTGGTCAAGTGCCCCTGAGATCAATAGGCGGTACCAAGAAAAAAAAAAAAAAGACCAAACATTTAAAAGTCAACTCATGGAACTGATCATCTCCAAAATCTAAATAACAAAATCTTAAGATCAAATCAATAGGAACAGAGAAAGCATAAAACAAAATAGCGATAGGCATTCACACTGAGAAAAAAAACAAATAAAAAAAGACTTCTCACATGTGCCATTATGGCCTACCTACAAAAATCCCAAAGAACCAACAAAAACTCTGGGAATTAATACTGCAATGTAACAAGGCTGTAAACACACACAAGCTTAATATGCAAAAATCCATCATTTTTCTAAATATCAAGTATAAATATCAATTTCAAATTAAAAACAAGACTATTTATACAGAAGAAAAAGTTGGACAAAGAGTCAATTTTACAAAAAAACAAAAAACCACTGGAGAAAATTGCTCAAGGCCAGAGGTAATCAATAAAGGCAAGATATATCTCAGTGGCTCAAGAGGCTGAGGCAGAAGGATCTCAAGTTCAAAGTCCACCTCAGCAATTTAGTGAGACCCTGTCTCAAAATAAAAATAAAAAGGGCTGGGTGTGGGAGGCCATCCTTGTACTTGATTGAATTACCTCCCCAGCTGTGAGAGGCGCTCAAACACATCTTTGTGTTCAGAGCTTTCCCCACCCTTGTTGGGTCCCAGGGCTTGTCGAGTGGAAGCATCCCTGATCACAGCCCCTGAAGACCCAATCATCTCACTTGACCTTGGGACACTGTCCCCCCTTAATCTTCATTGGATGGGATTTTCCCCAGAATTTTTTGTTCCCCAATAAAAGTCTACTCCCTGGTGTTCTCTCTCTAGCTGGCCTCTTCAGTAAACCTGGCTACTTGAATGGGTAGCTTGAGGCTGGTGGTATAAGAAGCCGTCCAGGAGCTGGTTTAAAGGTAATTAAGAGTCTGTCTCTTTAATTCAAACTCCCTTTGGATTTCCCACGTGGCCCAACCTTCACCTATAAAGCCTGTGCTGGCAGGGCTAAAGCTGGGGATGCAGCTCAGTGGTGAAGCACCCCTCGTTCAATCCCCAATACAAAGAAAAAAAAAAAAAAGAAGGTTTGTTTCTGGGGATATGGCAGTGCTTAAAGACTCTAGGTTCAATGCCAGTATTAAACAAAAACGAAACAAACAAATAAAACAATTACAACAAAGAAGTCTGAGTGAGAGTGGAGGTTCTCAGATGTAAGACGATGTGGCCACCTCTAGTCTCCCATAATCTACTAAGGCAGGGCGCAGATCCTCCACCCAGAAGACCATTATCATTAAGCAGAAATCGCTACCATAAGTTCCTCTTTCAGAAACCTTTTTACACAGGATATCAGGAAAAAGAAAAAAAAAAAAAAAACAACACGATAAACTTCTGCATACAGCACTGTGGTGGGCAGTTTCCTCTTTTTGGAAAGTGCTAAGTTTGTAAATGAGAAAAAAAAAAAAAAAAACTTGTAAAACTTCTAGTCTCAAAAACTGACAAAGCATTCGTCCGGTAAACCTTCAAACCCCTCCTCCCAGTAGGGACAAATAGAGAACTTCAGACTGACTCCCACAGAATGCTTTAGGCAACGGCCTCTCTGGGCCCCGCAGTCAATAAACCTGCTTCCAGAAAATTCCTACGAATTCCCGGGTGCCCAACCTCTCCTGTCCTCCATCACTAGCGCCTTCTTGGCATCCCGCTTGCTCCTCTTCTCAAAGAAAAGTCCTTTCTGCCAACCACTGAGAGGTCTGCAGACTTCACAACTGGGCTTCCCTGCTTTGCGGTTCTCTTAAATGCAGCTGTGCCTTCCTCAATTCGATTAAAAAACAAACAAAAACAACAACAATGTCCAGCGGGCGCTGATTTCCAGTAGGGGGCCCTGGCAGAAGGGTCCACAGATCTGTCCGCCTCCTGCCCCCACAAGCCCCTGAGGGTCCGTCGCGGATTTGGGAACCGGCTTCCCCAGTTTTGCAGACTTCGGAGTAACCAGGGGACCCCGAGGAGCAGGGGGGCTGGGACGCGCACACCTCCCTCCCAGTCCCCGCCTCGCCCGCGGCGGGAGTCTCCCCGCGACCCTCCCGCCGCCACCGCAGAGGGGGAGACGCGGGGCTGGGCGGCCGCGCTGCCCACAGACCGCTCCGGCCGGCAAAGCGCCGCGCAGGACCCGGCCCGGCCGGACTCCGACCGCAGTCGCCGCAGCTGCCGTCGGAGGCCCAGGTCCCTCCACAGCGACTCACCCGTCCCCTTCACCGCGACCCGCTCCCCTTGCGGGAAGGGCGCCCTCCACACTCACCATTGCCCGCCTTCTGGGGTTCCTGGGGAGATGTCACAGCGACGAGGCTGGGCCACTTAGAAGTTCTCCTCGCAGGACCCACGGGACACACTACGCCCACTACTGCAAGGAAGTTGTTCAAAAGTGGAGGGTTCCCGTCGTCTTATAGCTGCGCTCCAGATTGGCCGATCCTGCAGCCCCACCCCATGTCTCTGATTGGCTAATGATCCAGGCCCCGCCCCTGAATCACTAGAGGCTGCGGAAAAGAACCTCCACCTGGCTGAAAGGAATTCATGTGAACCTTTTCAATTACAACCCTTCCCAATGCTGCAGTCTGGCTGGGCACAAATAACCAAGCCGCCACAAAGCCTGTAGGTTCAAACAGCAACTCTTTATTCCCCCAACTCTCACCGGAACTGCACACACACTACTCGCACACTCCTTCCACCAGGGTGGCGCCCAATCTCCCCAACCCCCGCCCAATCTCCCCAACCCCCGCAAGAACTGCACAGGGAACTCCAAAGTAGCGGTTGCCCCAGGTAGATTCCTGGAGCCGCCCTATTCCCCCGGAGCAGGGTCCATATACAACTCAATCAATCCAGCATCACAGCAATTATATACAGCTTAACTCAAATCATCATCTCAATGGTCCGCTGGGGTCACCTTTCAACCCTTCCCTCTGGCAATATGCCAGGCTTCATTCTGACTCGGCTGTGGCTCTCAACATCCCAGCATAAGCTTCTTCCCAGGTACCTGAAGGATTATTGCACCTTTTCATTTAATTGCATCATCCTGATGTGGTGGAGGACTTGCCTAGCAAGGTGCTGGATTGGATCCTCAGCACTACATTAATAATAATAATAATAATAATAATAATAAGTCCAGATATGGAATACCTACTCAAAGTTAAGTATAGTGCTGGGGGTGTGGAAGAGGCACTGAGTTCAATCCTAAGTACCACATAAATGTAGATACAGAATAATGTACAAGAAAAGAACCAAAAGATTGGTGGTTTTTGATGCATAATGAAACATGAAATTCAGAGGAGTGTCTTTCTTTGTACCTGGATTTGACCCTTGAATGTTTCTCATTATTATAAGCTTTTCATTTAGAACACATGTCTTATGAAAACAATATACATATGATTTCATTTTCCTAATCAAATTGTGTTTAGGTATCAAAAATTTGTGTAAAGTTCTTGTTTAATTAAATGACTTAATTTAATTTTATTGTATTATGTGATCAGACACAAAATGAATTAAAATTGCTTCCCCCAATCACACTTTTAATCAAAGGCTTGTTAAAAATGCAGGTTTCTAGAGTCCTGTAAAATTCTGATGAAATTAGTTCCTTGAAAACCACAATTATATGGGCTGGGGATGTGGCTCAAGCAGTAGCGCGCTCGCCTGGCATGGAAGCGGCCCGGGTTGGATCCTCAGCACCACATACAAACAAAGATGTTGTGTCCACCGAAAACTCAAAAATAAATATTAAAAAATTCTCTCTCTAAAAAAAATTTTTAAAAAACCCCCACAATTATATGTTGTGAACTATTGTAAAACTCTCTAGCATTATTTGGTACAGATTAAACTAGTCTACTTGCTGTAAGTATAAAGATATAAAAAATCCAAAACTAGTAGGTAAAATTAGAAATGAATAGATCGTAAAGGGACTTCTGAGAACATGTAAAAACAAGTTAGTTCCTTTGGGGTCAGGATATTGATACCACTCATTGATGTCCAAGTCCTGTTTCCCCATGAGTGAAATAATGAACACCAATATGGATTGCTTTCTCCCTTGGGAGGACTCTGTTCTATTCTTTAAATAAAACTAAATAAGTTTTATTTATTCCACCAAGGTGTGGAATCTTGTCCTTTAGATTTTCCAAGTTTCTAACTTCTCATGCCCCCTCCTCCTATCCTGCTAATGTGGGATAGAAGGGCATGATCCAGGGGAACCTCTCCCTATTTTCCATTGTCCGCCCAGAAAAGCAGGAAGCAAGCCACAGTGATTACTCATTAACAATTCCCTGGTGGGAGGAACACCCCCCCTCCCCAGGCGACCTTAGCCACAGGTGATTCTGAAGTGCCCTGAAGGTATTAACATTCCATTTCCTTGGAACCAGCTTCCTTCTTCCCCACCTGACCTGAGGACCGGCTGTCTACACTAGCTCCCTGCCCTTTGTTCTTGCTTCACCCCCAAGTCTAATTTTAGGGAACCCTTGCTGCTGTGAGGGAAAAGTGCCCATGACAGCTCTGGCCTCTGAGCTGAGAGGGAATGATGTGGGGCAGCAGCTTGAGCTTCCCTTTCAGGAATGGGGTTGGTCGAGGGGTCCACAAGAAAAGTCTGGTTTGGAAGCAACAGGTTGTAAAGCCATTGAGAGGCGGGTGATCCACCAGAGAAACAAGAAGACGTGAGTACTGGCATAAGATCCGTGCAACAAAAAAATGTCGCAGCATGCGAACCCGCCGATGAGTATGGTGAGGACGACAGAGCTTGAGTGTCTTCCACCAGGGGGCACCAGAGGACCAGAACGAAGAAGTTGTTCCCATGACAGGGCTGGTGGCCTCAGCCTGGGAACCTAGACCTTTAGGAAGTGACTTACATTTCCAGAGTTGTCAGGAATGAAAACACAGCATCAGTTCAATCATGGCACAAGTGCCACCTTGGGCTGCAGTGAGGACTTCTAAAGCCATCTGCTTTTGTCAGATGGCTTTCCTCATGAGGGCTACTTCTGTGTTAAGAAGAGAAATACTCAACCTGGTATAGGGCAGTGTGAGTATAGGGTTTCCAGGTGCCACAGTCCAACCTCTAAGCCAGTTTGTGGAGTAACCGTGAAGCTGAGGATCATAGCAACCAAAACCAGATCGGACCCACCCGCGTCGGAGACTGCAGAGGTTTGCTGGCTGTCCTATACTTGGTGTCCATCTCCCTTGCCTCCAGGGGTACCCAATAGTCCATCTTCCTCTCCATGCTGGGGGAAACCAGTGCTATAATTTTTTTCCACACATCCATTGTGTCCCTTTGGGTGGCTGGCCACCTAATTTCAGGACTAGAGAACCAATGAGTCCCAAAGCAATTGTTGGCCTGTAAAATCACTATGTGTTGACTCGGGGGTCCATCCTAATTCCCAGGTAGCATTAGGCCATTTGTCAGGTGTGGTTACATTGTTCTCAACAGATTGGGGCTTCTTGGTTTAGATGCCCTGTGGTGGGTTTAAGCTACAAATACCCATCCCAAATCTACAGTCACCATCCTTAGACCTTTGACATGTTTGCACTGATGTTGGGAAGTATGGAGTGGATGGGCTAAAATGTGATTTGACAGCTATAAAGTCTGAAGGTTGGCTTGTTGGAAAGTGAAAGTTTTTCCATGACCTGGTTGTGATAAAGTTTCATTTATAGGCTATAATTTAATATTGGCATGAGTTGCAGCTTGTTAAGAGTGTTTCTCTTTCTTCGGTTCTAACAACTAAAGACTGTAATTCTATCCAGTCACTTCTTTGTAAGGGAGATTCCCCCCAAGGTAGCCCAGAAGTGCTGGGAAAGGGGAACAGTCCTCACGTCCAGCAGTCATGCACCCTAGTGGCATGCTGTTGAGCCCAATCAAGAAAAGAGTTCATTTCAGTGGACCTGTGTAAAATGATAAAGAAGGACCAGGAAAAAAAGGTTACTGATCACCTTTGTCTTTGTGGAAACCTAATCTGAACCTGGCTTGACTACCAACTGGGGGAAAAATGGTTAAAAAGCCCTAGGCATTGGGGTTGGGCTTGTGGCTCTGGTACAGCTCTTGCCAACGTGAGTCACTGGGTTCAATCCTCAGCACCACATAAAAATAAAGTAAAAGTATTGTGTCCACCTACAACTAAAAAATAAATATTTTTTTAAAAGCCCTAGGCATGATGCTTTTGCTCTAAACAGAAATTTCCCTTGGCCAGATATCCTGACTTCAGCACAGGGAGAAAAATTATTTCAGGGTTATCTCTCTTTCTCTCTCCCTCCTTCCCTCCCTCCCTCTCACGCTGCTTTACTAAATAATTAATAGCCATGTCATTTTTTTCTAGGATTCCTTTTTTTTAATGTGTATTTTTTGGAGCTCATGATTTGATCCTACAAGCCTAGGTTAATATATTTTACTGATTAGTCCTATTGTATCCAACTATAAAGGTATTTCACACTCTGCTTTCTTCAGAGGCTTATTTGTAAGGGTCAGCTCTCAATCTAATAGGTTTTTAAAAGCTACACGGCCTTTGTTTGTGTATGTGTGTACACCAGTGTGTTGTCCTGTCTATGTGTGTGTATCAAACTTGAGCGCTCATAAATTAAAATTTAAAAATGTAATTTGAAGCATTCAGTTTACATTGGGGCAGACAGATAAGAATGAATGATGTCTTTACAGCTACGAACTCACTGGTTTTTCTAAGTGTCAAATTCGTAAAATGTAGATGTATGAATCCATTGTTTCTAAGGTCTTTGTTCAACATGGAAAAAATAAATGCTTTTTGATACACCTGTCTGATACATTGGTTCTTATAATTAATATATAAATTAGATTTAATATCAATGACATTAATTTTCATCAATGTGTTTTTTAAGGGTTTTTTTTAATATTTATTTTTTAGTTTTCAGTGGACACAACATCTTTGTATGTGGTGCTGAGGATCGAACCCAGGCGGCACACATGCCAGGCGAGTGCACTACCGCTTGAGCCACATCCCAGCCCCATCAATGTGTTTATTAGAGGCATGTGATTAATTTATAAAGTTAAAATGCTAACTTTCAATACCCTTAACTTCATGAACTCCATGGGGTGATATACTTGAGCATTATTTGTGTTTTCACAAATTTGTAAATAATCAGATGTGATTCTATGTACAAGGGGTCCAAAAGTTTCAACTAGAGTATAGTGAATAACAAAGTGTTTCTTCTTCTTAAAATAGAGTAATTTGGGGGATGGGATTGTGACTCAGTGGTAGAGCGCTAGCCCAGCATGTGTGAGGCACTGGGTTCAATTCTCAGCATGACGTATAAATAAATAAAATAAAGGTTTATCAACAACTAAAAAAAATAAAAAAACAAAAACAAAAAATGAATAATTTGTCTAAATTTAGA